ATTTCCATTTACGAAAAAAAAATGAACAGTAGAAAAAATAACTCCTGAAACCCAGCCACCCAACCCTACTTATAGATACTATTATTAAACCCCAATAATACAATTCAATAACAAACGTATCTTTTTTTCTCCCTTGAGAGGTGGATGACCTAGCCGATCTCTCATGAAGTGACCTCGAACCGCAGAAACCATAATTAGGCTATAATTATCTCCTTTTTTTCCCATACCGCTAATTTACGCGTTCTCCGATCACAACAGGTCTACATAATGAGGAGTTTTTGAGGTTGGAAGGAGAAGTATGGGGGGGTGGGGGATATTTGTATACAATGAGGTCTTTTCTTCCTCTTTTTCTTCTCCTTCTTTCTCTATCTTTTTTTTTTTTTTTTTTTTCTTTTTTTTTTTTTCGTCTCTTTCTATCTTTTTTTACTTCGTCCTCTCCTCTCTCTATTGTCATTTTACTTCTTCGTCTCTCTTTTTGTCTTTTACCTCGTCTCTCTCTCTCTTTCTCTTTTGCTGCGTCTCTCTCTCTCTCTCCTTCTCTTTTACTTCTCTCTCTCTCTTCTCCTTCTGTCTCTGTCTTCGTCTCTCTCTCCCTCTGTCTGTCTTTGTCTCAATCTCTCCTGCTCCCAGTCCTTCCATTCTCTCTCCTCCATCCTTCTCCCATCTTTCCCCTTTCCTTATACTCCACTATCTTCCCCGTTCTTTTCCTCAGCCTCCTACCATTTCCTGCTCTCCCTCATCCTCTTCCCATCTCCCTCTTTTCCTCAATCCCCCCAACCCCCCTTCCCTAACTTCCCTCCCCCTCTTCCTCCCCAAACTCCCCACCACCCCTCCTTAAATCCCCCAACCCCCCTTTCTAACTTCCCTCTTCCCCTCTCCCTTATCCCACCCCTCCTTCCCCACCCCCACCCCACCCCCCCTCCTTCACCCCCAGCCCCCCCTTCCCACCCCTAACCCACCTCCCACCCCTTCCCTCACCCCAAACCCACCCCCTCCCTCCCTCCCTCCCCCTCGCTCGCGCTCCGCTCGAGTGGTCCCCCGAGTAGCGGGTCGGACCTCTCCAACACCAGTCTCTCTCCCTCGACGCCCTGGAATGCTAATGCTCGGAGGCCGTTCACGCCCGCAAGACCCCGCCATCGCCCCTACCTGCCGCCCTTTACCCATAGCTTGCCTCTTCGCCCATCGCCGTAAACCCGTTTCCTCGGCTTGGAAGAACGGTATTGCCGGGGGTCTTCGCCTGGCTGGGAACCCGTAGCAAGGGGATTCGGGGATCGGGCGTACAAAGCTGAGGGATTTTTCTCCGATTTCCTTGTGGCTTAGGTATGTAGGCCTATGGTACGTGTCGTTACTGCAGCTCGATACGAAACGATATATATAATATATATATATATATATATATATATATATATATATATATATATATATATTTTTAATCTTGTCCGTTGATGGCTCTTCGTAAACCAAAGCTGAATTAAGTGTTTTTTATCATTAAACAGAGCATTCGTCATAAATATCATCCTTACGTTTTTTCCATTCTCTTTCCTTTGATCAAACATCACTTAGATTTTTTCTTCCTTTTCTCTAGAATAATAATAATAATAACAACAACAACAACAACAACAACAACAACAACAAAAACAACAATAATAATAAAAATAAAATATAAAAATAAAATCTTTTTGCGAACTTCCCTCCCATTTTTCTCAAGGTCCGCCGCGTCACCAGATAACAATAACGTATCAAAAATACATACAAAAAAAAAAAAAAAAAAAAAAAAAAAAAAAAAAAAAAGGCGACAACACTGTATCCTGCCATTGTCTCGACCCTGACATTCCTCTCCTATCCCTGAGTAGGATCTCCGCGTGAGGACTCCGACCAAGATATCCTGGCGAGGATCTGGACATCGCCGTTGGTGTCGGGATGGCCCCTGACGCCCTCCTCTTCCTCTTCCTCCTCCTCTTTGGCTTCTTCCTTTCTTCCTCTTGTCCTCCCTCTTCGTCGTTATCACTCCCTCTCCTCTTCTACTCTTTGCCTCCTCCTATTCCTCCTCTTCCTTTCTTCCTCTTGTCCGCCTCTTCCCCTCTTTCGTCGTTATCATCCTGTTCTCCTATTTTCCCCTCTCCTTTCTCTTCTTTGTTCCTATTTGCCTCCTCCTCTTCGGCCTCTTCCTTTCTTTCCTCTTTGTCCCTCTTATCCTCCTTTTCCCCTCTCCTGTTCTCCTCTTCCCTTCTCCTCCTCCTCGCCCTCTCCTTTCTTCCTCTTCTTCCCTATCCTTCCTGTCCTCCTCTTTACCCTCTCCTCCTTATCATCACCACTCTTATCCTCATATTTGCCACTCCTCCTCCTCTCACCCTTCCCCTCCCCTCTTCTCCTCCTCATTACCCCTCCTCTCCTCCCTTCTCCCTCTCTCCCCTTCCTCTCCCTCTCACCTCTCCTCTCCTCTCTCTTCTCCGCCCTACCTCTCCTCCTCCTCCCCCAGTCCTCCAACCCTCCACCCCTCTCCACCCCCCCTCCCCCTCCCCCTCGCCCCCCCCCCCCCCTGCATTATCTTGATCGAATTCGTCCGCCTTTGTCGCCGGTCCACGAAAACGCCGGATGCGACTGGTCTCTTACTCATAACAGAGATTTAAAAAAGATTCGGAAGACAATTACTCGATAAGTTGGAAAGAACAAAAAAAAATATAAATAAAAATAAAATAAAAAAAGGTTCGGAAGGCAATTACTCGACGATCGGTTTGAAAGAAAGAAAAATAATAATAATAAAAATAAAAGAAATAAAAGAAAAAAGTAAGAAGAAAATAAACGAGCTAAGAAAAAGAAAGAGAGAGAGAGAGAGAGAGAGAGAGAGAGAGAGAGAGAGGAGAGAGAGGAGAGAGAGAGAGAGAGAGAGAGAGAGAGAGAGAGAGAGAGAGAGAGAGAGAGAGAGAGAGAGAGAGAGAGAGAGAGAGAGAGAGAGAGAGAGAGAGAGAGAGAGAGAGAGAGGAGAGAGAGAGAGAGAGAGAGAGAGAGAGCATCCTACTTTACCCTCTCGAAAAAAGAAGGTTTTTTAAAAAAGAAAGAAAAAAGGTCCACTAAATCCCACAATCTCGTTAAAAATAAACCATTTCAAAAACAATAACAAAAAATAAATAAATAAAAACTCCCCAATCCTACCCTCTCGGAATAAAAATATAATAAAAATAAAAATCACCTCAATACGTATTCCCTCTAACCCAAAGACACAGTAATAAGAAACAAACAAAAATCCTTCTATCCCACCCTTAAAAAAAAAAAAAAAAAAAAAAAAAAAAAAAAAAAAAAGAAAAAAAAGAAAGAAAAAAATCGCCACTGCACATCCCCTCCAACTGAAACCACAGTAATAACAAACACACAAAAATCCCTCTACTCTGCCCTTTCGAAAAATAACTACGTAAGGCAAAAAAAGAAAAAAAAGAAAAAAAAAAGAAAAAATTACCCCAATACGCCCCATCACCCTCAACCACACAAAAATAAACACACAAAAAATCCCTCAATCCTACCCTTTCGGAAAATTATAAGAAAACAAATATAAATAAAAAAAGGAATAAAGCCAAAAAAATAAAAAAAAAAAAAGAAAATACCCCCCCCCCCCCCAACCCCCAACCACAGTAAGGAGAAACCCTATCCAGCTCGCCGTGTTTATTTCCCTTCTCCCTGGCGGCGTGTCCTTGAACTACGCTAGGTCTGGTCCGTTGAACCGCCGCTGAGCCACAAACGCCGGCCTGGGTTTCCAAAGTTGTTTGTCTCTTGCTTATTACGGGTCTGTCATCCTCGGGAAGGTAGATGGCAGGACGAAAAAGAGAAAGGAGATAAAAAGGAGATAAATAAACCGATTTTTTCGCGTGTTGGAAACCGTTAAATAGAATTATTTTGCTCGCTTGTTACACTTTGGAGAGGAACGCGTGCAGAGTCATAACGGCTTTTAACAGGATGTGTTCGTGAAGTCTTTCTTTTTTTCATTATTCAAAGTTCGGGAGGAAATGAAGGAGTGGGGATGGCGGAGGAGAGAAGGGAAAAAGACGAAGAAGAAATGGATAGTAAGGAAATGAATAGCACGGCAAGAGAATAGATAGATCTGGGGACTTAACCTAAGTTTGGCGCCTAACACACCTCGGCGATGCGGGGGTGCAGGTGGCGAGGGCGGGGGTGGAGGGGGAGGCGAAGAGGGGACAGGTGGGGGAAGAGGGGACAGGGGGGAGGAGGGACAGGAGGGGGGGGGGGGGAGAGAGAGGGTCAGGGGGGAGAGGGGTGGGGAGGGACGGAGGAGGGAGAGGGGACAGGTGGAGAGAGGGAAGAGGGGACGGGAAGGGGGGGAGAGGGACAGGTGGAGGGGGGAGAGGGGACCGAAGGAAGGGGGGGGGAGAGAAGGACGGAGGAACTGACCACCGCCCCTGCGAGAGTCACTTCCGTTCGTGGCGAGTTTGGAGTAATAACGATCATCCTTGACATTTCTAATATTAGGATTTTCACGTGCGTTGGTTCGGTCCTGTCCACGGCCATGTCGACGCTCTGCTGAGCACAAAGAGCCGCAGGAATTTTGGTACCACGCACGCACGCATACATACGCATACACACGCACACAACACACACGCACACACACAATACACAAGCACTCACACACACACACACACACACAAAAACAACACACAAACACACACACAAATTACACAAAGCACTCACACACAACGCGTGTGACCACGCACGCACGCACACACTCACTCACTCACACACACACATTCTCTCCCCATAACAAAAAAAGAGAAACATGAAATAATTCTTTGCAATTATCCATTGCCCAATATCCAGGATCACCACGATGTACCCCTTTTAACACCGCCAATTAGGAAATGCCCAGCGCAGGACGGTGCACCTCCCCCCCCCCCCCCCTGCCCCTCCCCCACCATCTCAGACGTCCACAAAGGTATGTTAATCAAGCCCTCGTTGAACACCCTGACCTTGAGAACTTTAAGGACGACACTCACCTGAACATGTCGAGAATCATCACACTGAACATGGTGGCGGTCTTGACGTCTCGAATGGTTAATCCGGTAATTCTTGTTATTATTTTTTCAATTAACCCTCCGCTCGTTCACATACGTTCGCTATATCATCACTATCACGTCTTTCGGGGTCTCATGTTGGTCTCGCTTCGTATATATTCGTTAAAGGAGTGGGAACAGCACAGGCGGCGAGGAGCAATGCAACAGGGACGTCTTCCTGCAGCGTGAGTCAACGACAAACTACTCCTTCGTTATATTATCCCTCGGCCTTCTTAACGCATTCATTCACTTTCACGGTTTTTCACTGGCTGGGACGATTACAGGGCTCCAGGAAGTGCAAGTGTGGCGGCTTGGTTTCACTTGTCTTGGCAAATACTAAAGCACTTTTCTCCTTTTCTCCCACAGCATCAGCGACCGTCACGTGAAGCGCCAAAGAAAGGGACTGCATGCATAATTACCGCCGCAAATTGCTGGATTTTGTAATACCGCCTCGTTTTCGTCACTTAATGGCGAGGCAAAAACCGTGGATATTTTGCCAGCACCTCACTACACACCGCGACGACCACCACCGCGAGGACACGCTACTCAGAGACCGATCCCCAGAGTCCATCGTCGAGACGCGCCTTCGAACGGACCAGCGCGGGACTGGCGGACACCACCGAGACGCTCCTACAACCCTTGGGAGGAGAGACGTGCACTAAGGAGTCCCCCGCAGGATCCTCGCCGATGGGAATAATGGCGGCCTGGAACGAGGTGCCGGACGCCTCAATCTGGCGCATTTTCACCTCGTCGTACAGCCCGTCGCTTTAGCCACACACGCGGGAAACTTGCGCCACAGTATCATCTCTCTTTCTTGTCGTCTTTGCGCACAATAGCCACATCTTCGTCCCTTCTGGAGGCTGGCAAAACGAGATCATTCCTCACGACGTTGCCACCGCCCCGCTTGAACTCCGGGGCACAGGTGTACGACGCTGGTATGTGGAGGGGAGGGTGAAGCGAGCAGGGGGATGAGGGGGGGCGGGGGGTGGGGTGGGGTGGTCTGGGAGGGGCGAAGAAGGAGACTGGGGTTGAAACGGAGTACAGGATACTAACGGCGAGATGAGAGAAACCTTTCTTTCTTCTCATTCTTCTTCTTCATCTCGTCCGAATTTCGACAGCGGCGAAACACGGACGACATTTTACACGCGACTACCTTCCTGTGGGTGAACTCGTCCTCGCAGAGTCGTCGACGGAGAGCCTCTTGAGAACCGCGCCTCGAGAAGTGACGCAAGGGGAGAGGTGGCATCGGGGTCGCTAATACCCTGAGCTTCGCAGAAAAAGCGGAAAGACTCACAGATGAAACATTCGCTTCGAGGAAAAGGAAAAGCGGGATGCGCGCGCGTGTGTCATCCTCCTTCGCTACAACAAAGGCTTCTCAAGAACGCCCATAAAAAAAAAAGAAAAACACCCGCGCTTTCGGGGAAATTAGACATCTCGAACAAAGTTAACCGAAAGAACAACGCACGCTTCCTGCTCCTCCATTCGCCCTGAAAACTCCAAAACAAATCCTATTCACAAATTCCTCCTCAATTCCTCCACCTGGAACGACGACCCCCGTTCCTCCCATTCCCGCTTCATCACCAAATTCCAGGAATTTCCCCATCCTCATACACCGACGGGGGGGGGGGGAGAGAGAGAGAGAGAGAGAGAGAGAGAGAGAGAGAGAGAGAGAGAGAGAGAGAGAGAGAGAGAGAGAGAGAGAGAGAGAGAGAGAGAGAGAGAGAGAAAGAGAGAAAGAGAGAAAGAGAGAAAGAGAGAAGAGAGAGAGAGAGAGAGAGAGAAGAGAGAGAGAGAGAGAGAGAGAGAGAGAGAGAAGAGAGAGAGAGAGAGAGAGAGAGAGAGAGAGAAAGAGAAAGAGAAGAGAAAGAGGAGAGAGAGGAGAGAGAGGAGAGGAGAGGAGAGAGAGAGAGAGAGAGAGAGAGAGAGAGAGAGGAGAGAGGAGAGGATATGGGAGAGGATAGAGGAGAGGAAGGAGAGTCTCTCGACAGGCGGCTGGGATTAGCACCAAGTATTTCCCTTCCATGACGCTGAGCGGACGGGCAACCGGGAGAGATATTTCCTAAGCCCTTGAGAAATATTCGGAGACGCCCCCGAGCGATATTTTCTAGCTCACAAAACGCTGACGGCACGAGAGAGGCGGATAAAAAAGTAAAAAAAAAAAAAAAAAAAAAAAAAAAAAAAAAAAAAAAAAGATACGAGGTTGAAGCAAAAGTTATTTCTGTCAGTGTCCATATCACTCGCGTATCTTTTGTTTATTTGTTTATTATTGTTTGCGGTTGGCGAGGAGGAGGAGAGGAGTTAAAAAGAGTCAATATAGTCTCCTTTTAAGTGGAAGATTTAGGTGTGGATATGAAACCCTATCCACCTTCCCGCCATTGCTCTTCCTCTCTTCAACTTTTAACTCGGATTGAAAATCTTAAATCCATTTCCCAAATATAAAAAAAAAAACAATAAAAAAGCATTCACAGACAAAAACAAAACAAAACAAAAACATCTCTTTCGGAAAACGCAGGTTGAAAATCTTAAATCCTTTTCCCAACGTAAAAAACAAAACAAAAAACATTTCATAGCAGAAGAGAGACAGAGACATTCATCAGAAAAAAAATCTTTCGGAACAAGTCAACTACCCCCTCCCCCTTCCACCCATCCATCCAAACGTGTCTCTCCAACATAAACACAACCAAGTGAGGGCTTCATGTTCCGCCATAACTAGCGGGATCATCTTAATTAGAAGAAGAGAAGGAGCAGGAGAATGAAGAAGAAAAGAAGAAGGAAGAGAAGAAGGAGAAGAAGTAAGAGAAGAAGAGAAGAAGAGAAGAAGAAGAAGGAGGAGGAGCAAGAGAAAGAGAAGGAGAAGAAGAAAGAAGAAGAAGAAGAAGAGAAGAAGGAATACAACAGCGAGTTGATGCATCCTAAATACCGTGACAATGGAAGGGAGCGAAGAGGGTCACACCCAATAGAAATCACTATATCGAGGCGAATTCCAACCCCCAACCCCCTTCCTTCCCCTTCATTCACCCCCATCCCCAACTCCCATTCAATCCACATCTCTAACAGCTTCTCAACCCACCTCCACCTTCACCCTCACAACCCACCTCCACTCCCCTCCCCTTCCCCAACCCCTTCCAACTCCCCTTCACCCCTCCCCACTCCTTCCACCCCTCCAATCCCTACCTTCCCCAACCCCCTTCCACCTTCCCAACCCCCCTTCACCCGCTCCCAACCCTTCCCTCACCCCACCTTCATCCTCCTCTACACATCCCTCCCCATTCCTTCCTTCGCCTCCCTCCCATTCCTTCCCACACCCCAAACCCCCTTCACCCCTCCTCCACCCCAACCTCCCTCCAACCCCATCCCAATCTCCCTTCCACACCCCAACCCCCTTCACCCCTCTCCCAACCCCCCCCCCTTTCCCCCCCCCACACCATACCTGACGACTTAATAAGCTCGCCTCGTCAAAAACAACCCAAGTCCCACGGGCCGTCAACCCTCTCGGGAGACTTACCCGCCCAACAACCGCAAAAATGTCCACTACGAGCCTGGCCGCCCACCACCTCTCCTCTCCCCGCCCACGACTCGGCCTAAGCCTCTGGTGGGGTTCACGGGCGTGTCCGAGGTACGAAAAGGCGGAAACTTAAGGAATGAATGAAGAGCCAAATCTTTAATAATTACTAGATAAATTGAGGTAATGGCGTATACCTGTAGATACACATGTAAACGCGCGTGTGTGTACATTGTATCTATATTTATTTTTATATTTTGTTATTTCTTCTTCTTGCCGAGAGTATTTTCATTTATTTGTTTGGATGTAATTTCTATAGGCCTACCTCTGACACCAACATGAAATAAACCCTAAATAATCTTTAATCGTGTATCTATCAACACTGAATTAATTCCACAGCTTTAATAAACTAACGCGGCTGTCATTTCGGGTCCATAATTGTCCCTTTTCGCCCACGTAGATACATTTATTATGAAAATTCAGTCACACAAGATGAAAATAATGGCGACTCATTCCGGAGGTGCCTTCAGGTGGGAGAAGGGGTGGGGAGGGGGGAGAGGCAGTGTGGGGAAGGGGGAGGATTGACGGAGGGAGGGGAGGGGAGGGGGGGGTGTGGGTCAGGTAGCACAGTTACACAGTTCGCGGACTGTGTTTCCCTATTACTCATAATGTAAAAAATAAAAAATACGTTACGAAATAAGAGGCACTTTCCAATTAATGCCGAATTGAATCTACATGGCAATTATTTTACCATAGACGCTGCAAGATTAAAAAAGAAAACATTTAAATATCTCAACCTCAAAGACGGTAACAGACCCGCATCCCAAACACGATCATTGCCATCGCTCGCCGGACGGTGAAATTTCCATCCAGAAAATATCGCAAACAGGCTGGAAAATCGCTTCCTCTGACACGGTGCTAATTTCACGTTATCCGCACGGCATTCTTTCGCTTCTACACCGAAAAGAAAAGTTGTATAATAAGGCAGGAAAAGAAGGAAACGAAGAAAAAGAACAGGTACACAGTAACACCGGCATATACCTCACCCTCCCCCTCCGCTAAGTACAGTCGACCTGAGTATAGCGAACATCCTCTCCTTGAGTACAGGTAGTGTGAGCCCGTAGATGCCACGCCGAGATTTGGAGCTATTAGGCTTAAGGATTACGCATTAAGCAGGTATACACAGGTATCACGCTAAATTTACTACAGGTTAATGGGTAGTCTAATTGGGGGGATCGACAGCGCGAGTGAAAACAAATACCCACGTTTTTCTTCGCACGAACGCCGAGCTCCAGCTAAAATTTAACCCCGGTAACTGCTACGGAACATGTGTAATGGCAAACGGGTGGGCGGGCAAGGGCATGCCCATATGGGGGCAGCTGGGGTCAAACAGCACGAAGTGACGGGGAGAGAGGCAGCAGCGTGTGTTTGGGAGCAGCGCCGGGCAGACCGCCGTACCCCGAAACCCCCCGAATGGGCGGTACAAGGAAAATGCCGATTTGTTCCTAATCGCGCTACCTGGGTTCGTCTTCCCTGGTGATGCTCTGCGCTCAGGAGAGGGAGAGGGCATTGCATTTCCGGCCATTCACGCGCTGTAATCGGGCCCAATGCCGATTCCACTCGGGCCAGGCAGTGGGGTGGGTGGGGGGTGGGGGGGGATTTACACTTGGGCAAAGGGGACTTTTCGCAGGTGTTCGTGGTTTCTAAATGCGAGAAGATATCTCGTTCATTCATTTTCTCTTTCTTTCTTTCCTTCTTCCTTTCTCTCTCCAAATCACTCACTCACTCACTCGCTAACTCACTCACTCACTCGCTAACACTCACTCTCTCTCTCTCTCTCTCTCTCTCTCCTCTCTCTCTCTCTCTCTCTCTCTCTCTCCTCTCTCTGTTCTCAACAAGTACATGAGGACACAAACAGGTAAAGAAATGAAAGGAAGTAGCAAGACCAGAAAGCAAAAAGTGGAGAGGAACAGATACCTCAATGAGAGAGAGAGAGAGAGAGAGAGAGAGAGAGAGAGAGAGAGAAGAGAGAGAGAGAGAGAGAGAGGAGAGAGAGAGAGAGAGAGAGAGAGAGAAGAGAAAGAGAAAGAGAAAGAGAAAGAGAGAGAAAGAGAAGAGAGAGAGAGAGAGAGAGAGAGAGAGAGAGAGAGAGAGAGAAGAGAGAGAGAGAGAGAGAGAGAGAGAGAGAGAGAGGAGAGAGAGAGAGAGAGAGAAAGAGAGAAAGAGAGAGAGAAGAGAGAGAGAGAGAGAAAGAGAGAGATA